GCTAAAAATAATTAAAGGGAAGCATCCACACCTATTTCCATAATCTTACAAACAAACACTGCTGAAACACGCCCTCTTTGGCAGAAGGTACACAAGCGTCAAAAATAGTTGGGTGAATTAAGCGACCGACATTTCACAGTAGAATAATCAAGTTTTTAGGTTTTCCATTCAACAGGTATGAAAGGACAGTTAAAGACGTACAATGACAGCTGTCTTCATCGCAGTTTTTTTATATTTTAGTTTGATTTAAGGCAGCGATTCTTAACTTGTGTTCGATCGAACAATATTGGGTTGGATGAGCCGGTCTCAGGGGTTCAGAGGAGGTAAAGACACGCTTGTGTAAAGTCCGTGATGACAAAGATTGCTTTTTTGTTTTTTAAACACACCCCGCTTAGCCATCAATCGCTGCAGTTCCCATTTATTGCTAAGAAATTGGAATTTTTCATATGATTTATTACAACAAATCTTTACGAGCAAACCTTTTGGAGGATACTGGACAGAAAAAACAAAGAAAATGAACAGACTTTATTCTGGCCCCAGAAAAGTACGTTGTGGATGACAAAAATCAAATTAAATTTAAAATAGAAAAAATTAAGTTATTAAATAAATTTTTAAAGGGGTGATAGAATGATTCTATAGGGTATCTGGTCCTTCAGGTCTCTAATAGGGTGTGTAACATTGGTTGGGCTGAAAATGGCATATTAGCTGTTCTATGGGCCCTAATGCAGCCTGGTTAAAAGCCCTAGAATGAAACCACAGGTTTTCTTCCTTTTATGGTATGATCATGGATATTTAGATGAGCTGTGCTCTGATTGGTTGGTTTACAACGAGCCAAGTTGCTGAGCAAAGACGCATCATAGCAACAAGCACTCACTCACTGAAACATCAGATTGTTGATATGCTAGGCGGACCAGTAGGGGTGTGCAAAATAATTGCCATGACGATGCATCGCGATTCTAATTTTTGTGATCTACTGCATCGATTCTTGAAGGCAAGAATCGATTCTTAATTAAAAAAAATGAACAAATAAAATACATGAATGGTTGGCGCACATCAGCCAAACCAAGTGGAATACAACTTCCAGTCCAGCAGATGTCGCTGTGGATGTGTTGACGCCCGCTGCTTTGTGTCACAAGCATTTCCGGCCGCGGGATACTGAGACGAGTCATATGAAATAAAACGTGGAGGACACTATGAAAATTCGCCCCGCGGCTCCATCACATTTCCAGTCAGATGCTTGGATGCATTTTGGCTTTAAAAACAAAGAAGGTAAGAACGAAATTGATATGATGCACGTAATTTGCAAAAGGGGAAATATACATTTGAATGTTTTCATTTCATTGGTTTAAAGGACCACTGAGGCCATGTAAACGGCACTGATTATCCTTAATTTGTTATTTTAAGCTTTATAAATCCTAAGATCTTTTTGTCAGTGTTTCCACGCCAGTAATAGTAATATTTGTGTCCAGTATTTGTTTCCATGGCAACGCCTCCAAAAGTCGTTTCAATAAATACAGCTATGTATGAATTCAGTTGCTTTCAGTTATGTATCAATTGAAGACACGATCCAGATCACACCCAGCCAGATCGCAATATTTCAAGTATCGTGATGCATCGTGATAGAATCGCATCGTGGCATGCGAATCGTGATTCGAATCGAATCATGACTTCTTTGCCAATACCCACCCCTAGTGACCAGACTTCCTCTTTTTCCCGGATATGTCCTACTTTTCATGCCTAAAAAAATGTCTGAGGGGGAATTTAAAAAAACATACACACTTCATTCCTCACCTTCACTAGATGTGGACATACTTTAGTATATTCTGCTGTAAAATTAATCTTATATTTTCGTTTTTTACTTCAGGATTCAACCTATTTCATAGGATGCACAGCGTTGAGTGGTAACAAGGTGACTGTTAGAGAGTAAACGAAAAATGATTGGCTTATTTTTCTAACTAATCCAATCAGCTCTCTGATCAACCAGTCGCCTGGAACGCTGGTTGAACAGAGCATCGCTTTGAACAGATACGCTGCACAGGTTTCACCAGCAACTTCCTCCCCACATCCCGCTCTCTCTTGTTTTGCGTGCGCGATTAAAGTAGTTCTATACCGCACATGGTGCAGAAATTATTGTATTGCCGGCATGCTCTCACTCGCATTAAAAAAACTGCCACCTCACATAGTCTAAAATCTGGGATAATTAATGAATTTATGAACAACTGTCTACACTAGGGGTGTAAATATCGTTTTGTATCGATGCATCGATCCAACAGCCGACGATCTGATGCATCGATTCATGTATTTTTTTTTCCTCCGGTCTATTTTTATCCATTTGCTCCTGGGTGTAATTCTCCCTCCCGTGCTCTGGTGGCGCTAAACCTATTTTGCCCTCCTACCTCGCTTCCTGGTTATACTCCTGCAGCAGTGTGTCGCAGTGAGCTTGACACAGACATTTTTAAATTATACTCAATATTGAAGCGTGGTCTGTGCTACACGCTGTGGGTCTAGATACGGCCGAGGCAGCGAGGAAGTGGGGGCGAGTTTAGTCCGACGACGGAGGGACATGAGGGCCAAAAAGAGCGGAGATCCGGGTGGAAAAAGGGCCCCAGCGTTCTCGCTCACCTCGCTCTTCTAGCGGGTCAAACTTCACGAGTTGTTTGCGCAATTTTGGTCATAAAAACAAAACAAGCCGGCCTCCTGTCTGCGGCACTGTCTGCGGTCAGCTACAATTTGGGAGAGGAGCAGCGGAGGAGCGTCTGTGGAGGGGGGGGACGTCTGGAGCCGAGGTATTGAATTGCACTCATTGCACTGATTATTTGCAGGATTTTTGCAGTATTTTTTGATGCAACTTTTCTACTTCTGCTTTTTGCTGTTGTTTCTGAAAAAAAAAAAAATGCATAACGATATTACAGCTTTAATTGATTTATTCCAAATGTGAAACATTTTCTAGCCTGTAAGTTGTAAAAAAAAAAAACTTTTATCGATTAATCGAATCGAATCGTATCGTGGTGTATTCTTGAGTATCGAAAATAATCGAATCGTTGGGTCAGGAAATGGATACTGAATCGAATCGCCATGATGGATGTGATTTACACCCCTAGTCTATACCAAGGAGAGTCCCGGAACGGAGAGTTACCGGCCCTCAGGCCCCCCTCCTCCGGCTGAGGACGGGCGGTTCATGGCTCTCTGCTGAGGTCCGGTCCAGTCAGCGGCCCAGCAGTCCACACTTCATAAAATAATACCGCAATTTGCTGTGAGTTCATGCACTGTGTTGGTTTAGTTCTTTGAGCAAGGTGATGTTCATGTTCACCACCATTTGTGCACCAGTAAAAACATATACCTGTGTCTTGAATTTGGAAAAAAAAAAGGAATATTTTATTTATCACTAAAGAACGTTTCAGTGAATGCACAAATGAAACTGGTGCGTTTGGTACCTCAAAAAAGGTTAAGAACCACTGATTTTAGGTTGGGAGATATCTAACAATTTTCCAGTCGATATTCGTTAGTCAATCAAATGGGGACGGACGATATATTTGTGCAGGTGACTTTGTGGGCAAAGAAAAGCCCACCTGCAGAGCGCGTCTTTTGCATCACTAATGCTAAAACCCAATAAGGTCAACATTCTTGTTTCCTTGTTGAAAATGTAGTTCCTTCCAGTGGGAATAGTTTTCTCATTTCCAGTTCTGACACTAGCTACGTTTACATGGACACAACTAATCGGATTGAAGGCCTGATCAGATCAAAAATGTTTCATGTAAACAGGTCAGACTGAAGATTCTAATCCGATTCGGTCCGATCGGAAATAAATTTAATTCCGAAAGAGAGAGGTGGTTTTTGCCGATCGCCATTCTGATTGGCGTCCATGTAAACACCCATTCGGATCTTAAGAGTAAAATAATCTTCACTGCGCATGTGTGCGACGTCAGCGTGACGTTTTTCCGCCTTGTCAACAACAGGAAACCACTGGTCGCTCTCGCTCTCGCTGTGAACAACATGGCGGGAGGAGTCTAGGAACGCCGACTTATACACTCAAGTTCATTTAAAGCTGCAGGAAGCAGGAATTTATCCTCCTCCTCTTCCTCTTTTCTCTCTCCAAAGCCCACTCGCTCTCCCACGCCGGTTCAATCGCTCATTCACTACATTTTCTCTCGGACATTTCGCTGCCAAGCGCTTTTTTCCTCCTCTCTCCTTTTTTCTTTCCTCTCGCTCCGAGCGCATCGTTTGTCAGGCCTCCCAAAAACCAGACGCAGACAGAACTGCCAAGTTTGGCAGGAAGTTCTGCGCATGCTTAAAAGATTTAATCTGATCCAACGCTTGGTACATGTATACACACGTCATGATCGGATCATTTCATTTAGTGTCCATGTAAACGGAGATTTTGAATTTCTGATCAACCAAGGTTTGGATCGGATCGGGGAAATTTTGCGCATGTAAACGTAGCTAATGTTATATTATCTTTATTCATTTGTTCATCTGAATGCTGAAAATCAAACAGACTAAATACTGGGGTGGAGATTTTTTATTTTTTATGGAGCTTCGCTGGAGAAGAGAATTTTCTTATTTTGTTGTTTAATTTTGTATTCTTTGTGTTAAAATCAATTCTATAACAGACAGACCTGTAAGCACACATGAAAAAACCCTGCCTCTCTCTGTTACTGCTGTAAAAAACAAAAACATGATTGATGGGCTGAGTCTATTATTGAGAATGTGCAATGTGGATATATATTGTATTGTTCTTTCTGTGTAACTGACTCTGACCAACGTGTGACCCCGCCCTTTGGGACAACAGATGAAAATCAGCCTGGGGCTATAATCTGCCATGTTTACATTGCATGTATGTCCATCAACAGGCACTGTCCCAACCAAATAAAACAAAAATCAAATAAATCAGGTGATCTATGGATAACCCAGTAATGCAGCTGCAGGACCTGGATGGTTAGGGCAGTTCTGCTCTCAGGTTCTGCTCGTTATAAAGATCCCAGAGGAAGCGGCAGCCTTACCCCTTTAACTCCCTTCAGGTCTCCTTTCAGCAGGCTGTCCAGGGGGAAGGTGATGATGTTGTTCATGTTCTGGAACTGGGAGGCAAACAGGAAGAGGAGGATCAGAGGTTGCATTTGCATTTTTACTGATTAAAAACTCAGCAAGCTGAATAAAAGCATTCAGAACAGACAAAATGACGCCTGTGACTAAAAGGTCTTCCGGATCTAAAACGTAAAGCCCTGGAAGTCTGAGCTCACAGACATGCTTCCAACTCAACATCCAGCTCAGGAAAAAGCTCATACTTTACATCTTTGGAAGTGATAAAAATAAAACCAGGGAGCAGCTTCAGGCTGACCCAGATTTAGGGGATTTTTGGAGCTAAAATGTCTCCCTGTCAGTGGAAAAGCTGGAGCTCCATTAAGGAGGCGCTGGGATCCAGCTGGACCTGTGATGTGCTCAGGTGTCAGAGGGCTCTACCCACACATACTTACAAGGTTTTTGAAAAGCGCAGTCAGCTCCTTGGTGAAGACGGAGAACTTGAGAAAGGCTGAACCCAGGTCTGGATCATCTCTGTAAACACAGTTTTCCCCAAACTTCTCCAGAGCCTGAGTGTACTGCTCCTCGTTCTCAACGTGGGCTGGAAGACAAACACATACAGCTCAACAAACCGAGGCGGCTAATGCGATAAAGGAAATGACACGGATCAAATTAGGGCTGTGCAATCAATTGCTTTTGCAATATAACCCCAATTTAACAAAATACAATTCCCAAATTACAGGGGAAACTAATCACATTGTATTTAACAACAGTAAGGCTCCACGTTTCTGTTGGTAAAACACTTGAAGTGGGTTTATCACCATGAAGAAAGGTGGAGAGAGTTGCAGGTAGCATACACATCCATGCATGCAAATAGAAGTAAGCATTACTTTACATAAAGGTTACAGTAAACATGTGCAACAATTGATTCTGAGCAAGCAAGCTTTCAAAAACTTAAAGCCTAGGGAGAGACATCTGCAAGCTTGGGACTAGTGCAAAGGTAAGGTTGAAATCACAATTTAGATTTTGGCAAAACCGTTCAGCACTGGTTCAAGTATGACATCTTGCATCCCACTCTGCTGCTCCACAGGTAGCTAAAAACTTGAGGGTTACAATTAAGTTGGATGCTGTTGAGGTAATTTAAACCCTCTCTTTTATCAGTCATTATGATTAATTAAATTCAGCTTATTTCTATAGCGCCAATTCACAACACATGTCACCTCAAGGTAGTTTCAGGTTCAACCAGATCATCCAGTCAGATTGATTCAAAGTTTTCTATCTAAGGAAAACCAGCTGATTGCATCGACTCATTGGCTCTTCAGCAATCCCTCACACTAAGCATGCTTGTAGCGACAGTAGAGAGGAAAAACTCCCTTTTAACAGGAAGAAACCTCCAGCAGAACCAGGCTCAGTGTGAGCGGCCATCTGCTGAGGCCCACTGGGGTTCAAGGAGACAGAAGCAGACATAGAAAAAGAAGCAGAGATACAAAAGGCAACTGTCAACCAGCTCCACAGGCGGCCCCATCTAGGATTATTGTGAAATCTTTAAAGTTGTTCCAACCGTTGCATTTCCGAATTCTCCCGAGTGGTGCCCGACTTTACACCACTATATAAAGTGAATTTTATTGGTCGTTTATCAAGGGGACGGGATTGTTGTGGTGGAAGGTTCGCAAGCAAGTTTGGTTTTTGACGGTTTGTCTGAAGCATCTTGCTAACCAGTTAGCAACTTAATGCTAGTAGGTTCCCAATTTCCATTGGGACCAAGTAGCACTAAATTGGTGACTTAGAAACGACGCTGTCAAGGAACGCTATGGACAGCGGAAACATGCAAGAGGAGGAGAGTTTAGTGTCGGAGGTCGTGGATGAGTCTCCTCCGTCATCCATTTTTTATTTAGAGGAGGAAAGCGGGGACGAAGATGTTGTGGAAGAGGACGCCAGGGCGGCAGAAGCTTGGTTTGGTGTAGAAGGCTTCCACCCGTACATGTTTGAGCCCTTGCCTCGCAACGCTGCCAGTTCTGTTAGCTCTACGCCTGCCGAAGACACAGACGTCCATCCCCGTGAACACTGGGACGCAACTCAATGGGAAAGGAAAGGATTCTGATTTCAACCGTTGCGTATATTAGCTGCGACGTATGAATCCAGATATGACCGAAAAAATTAGATTGACAGATGACCGTTGATATATGATTGGCCGGAATTTAGGTGTTCACCACAGATTTTTAGACATAATTTTTTTTTTTAAATAGAAATTTTCCTAATTTTGGGACAATATTGTCTGATAAAGAGTATTTATATACATGTTTATGCCAAAATGATTTTACATTTAAATATGATTTCCCTACAACTTTAATCAAATTAATGATCCTCCTTCCAAAAAATAAAATAAAATAAAAAAATAGAACCAATATCTGTTTCAATCTGATTTAGTCCACCAAATTAAAGGAATAGTACACCCAAAACATCATTAGGCTTCATTTTCTACTCACCCCCATGCTGAACAACACTCTGGAGTACTTTTTTGATATCTCAAATGCATCTGGAGATCTGGGAGGCTTCTTGCTGTCTGCTGACATTCAAATAATGGAGGTCTATGGTGCCCGAGACAGAAAGGTCCATAAAAGTCCACAAAAAACGTGTCAATATTCCTCCATACTGCTCGTCCAATGTATTCCAAGTGTCCTGAGTGGGTAGCATCCAGAATTTACTCGAAACGAAATCATTTAGAATGTTTTTAGAGCATAAACAGTAGTGTATAGGATTTCCTGAAAGCGCGCGCCAGCGCGTTCACGAGCCTACGGAAGCCGGCAGACCAAACCAGATGAAAGTGCGCATTCAGCTCGGCAAAGAACTCATGCTCTTCCTCAACACTGAAGTCCTCAGACATTTTTCTTTCGTTGTTTCTTTCTTTGCACAGGTAAACAGCACATTTCTTCTTCTACGCTTGCATTATCGGCAGAGCAGACGCTGAATGCGCACTTTCATCTGGTTTGGTCTGCCGGCTTCCGTAGGCTCGTGAACGCGCTGGCGCGCGCTTTCAGGAAATACTATACACTACTGTTTATGCTCTAAAAACGTTCTAAATGACTTCGTTTCGAGTAAATTATGGACGCTACCCACTCAGGACACTTGGAATACATTGGACGAGCAGTATGGAGGAATATTGACACGTTTTTTGTGGACTTTTTTGGACCTTTCTGTCTCGGGCGCCATAGACCTCCATTATTTGAATGTCAGCAGACAGCAAGAAGCCTCCCAGATCTCCAGATGCATTTGAGATATCAAAAAAGTACTCCAGAGTGTTGTTCAGCATGGGGGTGAGTAGAAAATGAAGGCTAATCATGTTTTGGGTGTACTATTCCTTTAAGGTTAAACCTGGAGTATGGAAGTCAGACCATTATACTGGGCTGATTAACAACTGGTACCGCTGGGAGAGCCGTGAAGCAGGGGAGGGACTCCATGGGGGAACACTACCATGACAACACCAATGACAGAAACTATGGGCTCGTGTGGGAATAATAACCTTTTAATAACATAATAACATTTTACAGAAGGACGGCACTTACAATGACTGTACAAGTTTACAGCCATCAAACAGATAACCAGATAAGATCAACTGTACAAGTTCATACATGTGGCTCATATCATGACCTCAGATATCCATCATGTTATTTGCAAGAGAAAAAAGCCAGAATCCCCTGAGTCACAACTGGCAAGCATCCTCAAAGGCAGCAAACTAGATTTTCCTGTCCAGCAGGCGGAGAGACGAATGCATTCAGATTCACTCTATGGCAACCTGAAAAGGTATCACAGCCCTTGAACCCCTCCTCATTTTGCCCCAGTAAAACACATTGAAGGTTTGGTTTTACTGTTCATGTCATAAACCACACTCACTCACCACCTTACAGGAACTGTCTTTGTCAAGGTTCTCAATGGCATCTGTATAAACAGTGGTATTATAAGACCTTAGTGCAGCATTCATTTCTGTCGATCACTATTTTATCAGAGTGCCTTGGAAACTGGTTCAGCCTTTCTGGTATAGCACTGGACTGGTTTCATACCTACTTGAAGTACAATGTCTTTTCTCTGTTTGTAGCTAACTTTACACCAGAGACCACAAAAAGTTATATGTGGCATTCCCCAAGAGTCCCTCTTAGTAGCCTCGTGAGACCATCCTGATCTCACGAGCTTTCAAGGTTTCACTCGCTAATCAGTCTGGAGACTCTCCGTTGAAGAAAATTTGGAGCCGTTCACCAAACGAACGTCCGATCAGCGTTGGCTTTGAGGCGGGTTGAGGCGTGACGCAACGAGAAGCGCGACAGTTCAGTCTAAAGAACTTGGCGGCTTCAGCCGATGAAACTAGTGTTAGCGTGGCTATCGAGCAAGTTTTATCGGAATTACAGAGTATTTCTTCACTGACAGAAGAGCAAAACACTGCTCTGGAGGCTTTTCTCAGAGGAAAAGATGTTTTTGCTCTTCTCCTGACTGGTTTCGGCAAGAGTTTGATCTATCAATTGGCTCCTCTTCGTCGTCGCTCTGTTAGTACGTCATATGCTTCGTTGATCTTATTGGTTTATTTGGCCCGTCTATCACCAACTTAGGCCAATCAGCTAACCAGTATTTTCGCCCCTTCCCAAAATTACTTCAACGGAAGGTTTCCAGATGGATATGCGGAGCAAATCCATCTGGCGGAGTCAGGTTACCCTCTTAGGGCCCTTTTTTTAATATCTACCTGCTCACCGAAACTCAGATCTTAAACAATAATCTAAGTTACTAGAACTAAGCAGATGACACACAGTTGTCCATTAAGATGTCACCAGGTGACTATGAACCCGTTCTCACTGTGGGTAAATGCAAAGAAGAAATTAACACATTGAGGCAAATATTTTTTAAGCTAAATCAAAGAAAAACTGAAGTAATAATTTTCTGGACCAAGGAAGAGTGTTTAAAATTTACCACCTAGCTTAATTTAATCCAATTACAAAGCAGCAATCAGGCTTTAAATCTGGATGTAGGGATGGACTCGGTAAGCAGAGACAGCAGTTGCTTACGGGCGCACAACTTCTTAGGGGCCCCATCACTGACACCTGGTCGGCCCCCTACACAATTGTGGACTAGGACATCTCTTTGCAGATGTAATGGTGCAAAATATTCCTCTTAAACCCACCTGATGCTAAAGCGACCCACCGGACCGTATTTATACCCCAACACATCCCAGATTTCAACATGATGGTGAGACGTTTAAACACGACACCAATAGCAAAGCAGACAGTGGGACTTTTAATTACTATGTTAATAACTGTGTATAGTTCATTAGACGGTTGGTAAAAAATACACTCATATAATATGTTTAAAACCGCAATAAAGATCTTAAAAGAACAATGTATTTGAGTATTTAATTTTTTACACTACTACTTGGAATTATTGGGTAACTCAGAGCGTACCGTATTTTCACGACCATAAGGCGCACCGTACTAAAAGGCGCAGTCTCAGTTATGTGTGCCATTTCTGTATTTAACACACACATAAGGCGCACTGGACTATAGGGCGCGTTTTTTATATACAGGTACATGTCCTCTACTACCTTTAAATACCTCTACTGCG